GTTTGAGGTGGCCAGTGACACATTGGTGGAAAATGACAGAATTAGGCGACTTTTTGTGCCTGAGGGGTCCCCAGTGATGCTATTTCATCAATGGAAGAGCAGAAGGTGATTAAAACAAGAGAGATAATCTCTAAAATATACATGGCTTGATGCTAACATGTTTGTTAGCTGTCAGAATTCTGATTAAAAAAAAAGTCAGAATTCTGAGATTAAAGTCAGAATTGTGACTTCTTTCCCATATTAAACTGAAATAAAATTTAAAAATCAGTTAACTTTTTTTTTTACTTTTTTCAGTGGCCCTAATCTTCCGTAGTTGTTAGTGAAAGTTGATCATGATGATCTCAGAGGGGGGGCTTTAACCCTAAACTACAATTTAAATCTAAACTCAGTGTTTTAATAATCCAGACTAGGCTGAACCAAATAAGGTTTCATTACATTACAACTTGACTCTATCTAGAGTTGTTTATTTAGCCAAAAAAAAAAAAAATCATGTAACTGATCCTTAACTGTCATAGAAAGCTGTCAGCATTTCTGAGTATCTAAAGTATTAAAAAAGGGGTAAAAAAGTTTTCTTTTGCAAACTTTCAGTCACTCTGACAGAGTTTCGGTTCAAGGGACCCTAAACCATAAAAACATATTTTAGCAGTGCTGAATGCTCCTTCAGAGACCTTAATAGATGGGGTTTAAAAGTTGTATATGGCTTTTACTTTAATATTTATTTTTTTCTAAATTCTTTTCATTTTAATCTACTCAATAGCAGAATAATTAAGTTTTCCTTCAAATATTTGCTCAACTTGCTTTATTTGCTAACAGTTTATTATTTTAATTATACATTTGGATTGATTTATGTTCCTTGATTCTAAGATGCAATGTTGTGTTTTTTCCAGTAGAGGTCAGCATTGCACAATATATATTCTCTTGATGAAATGTCATGTTTTTATTTATTTTGAGTGGCCATTCAACAGCTGCTGATTTGCGCTTGAATTAATAATTTTAGCATTGCTGAGTGATTTCAGATTATATTTTCCAGCAGAACAATCTAATCTGAGCTCAGAGTTTTGTCACCAAACCTGCTTTTGTTTACACACTCAACGGTCTGTGGTTACAGTGTAAACAATATGGATTTCACTACACTGGAACTCAAATTGGTTCTTTGTTAGAAGTTTGTTGCCATCATTGTGCTTTGGATAAGGTTGTGTTGATCTGCCTGTTCTGTAAAAATCCTCCACACTGTTTTGGATTTGATTATGTAGAATATTCTTCTGCTTTTGACTGTTTATTTTCGTGCTAAAACAGTAGGTCAAATGTGTAAACTACTGTGTTACATAAACTTTGGCCTGGAGCCTCCTAAGGCACAATGATGGGTTGTGACTCTCTTATCTCAACTTTTATTTTAGTTGAATTTAACGTGCCTGATAAAAAAAGATCTTCCATCTAAAGATAATTCAAGTGAGGAACTTTTCTACTTTGTGTTTAGTGTGATTGATTTTGAAAATTGAAACAGACTTTAGCGTATTATTCCGATTTTTCATGGGTTATATTGATTTTTTATTTATTTATTTTTTGTTCAAACATCCCGTGTTTCTTCCTTTGCAGAAATTGGGACATGCAATTTATTTATTTTCTTACAGTGTCCTTTCTAGCAATGTGGCAATAAGAATAAAAGTCAAAAAGAGCCCAACAGATTCAGTGGAGCAGCACAGCTATAGCCATAGTGTCCCGCTTGATTTATGCGTATAAAAAGCTTTATTCTAATCCATGCAGGGAGTTTTACAGATTTTTTTGGACATTGCAATCTAAGTAGAACAGGAAAGGAAAAACAGAAAAAAAGGATAAAAGAAAGAAAGAGGAGATGAAAAGGAGATAACGATAAAAAAAAAAAAAAGGAATGTTTAACTAACCTTTAATGTCATCTCCCTTTTATCGGGAGATGACATTTAAGGTTAGTTAAATATTCTGCTCTCCTCCATGCTGATTCCTAAGCTGGTATAAGCCAGGTTGATGCCATGTAGAATTCAAATTGAGCTACACGTATTGATCTGGAAAGCCTTATGTAGAAAGGGAGGGACATTCAGCTGGGCGTCTGCCTCACATGCCGAGTTTTCAGCCAATCACAGCAGCAGCAGCAGTTTGATGTGTTTCACAACCAGATGAGTTAACTGCTGCTGTGTTTGCTTCACATGAGCAGTTTGGCCTTTTAGTTTTTTTTTTTTTACTCCACTGTTTTTTCTTTTTTTGTTTCCATTTATGTAGCGACACTGCCTATGGGCCTGGCGTACATCTAACAGTGTTGTTGCTTGTATCAAAGCGCATTCTTTCTAAATTATTTTATAACTTATGCCACTCTTTGTTTTTGTTTTTTGTTTGGTATTTTTAAGGATTTTGATCCAGCAGAGATTTTAGCCTCAAAACGAAGCATAAATAAATAATTCAACACATTTCTTCCTCCAGACATCAGTCATGTTAAAAATAAAATGTCTGGATTTTTGCTGCTTTTTTTCTGGTTTGTTAGTCTTTATTCTGAAAATAAACCAGAAGATTGAGGTTATTATTTTTTTTTTTTTTTTGAGCGCTGCTTTCTAAGTTTATTTTTACGTTTTTCTTGTTGTAAATAATTTCTTATCTACACCACTTCCTGTGATTATGAGCTGGTATTTCAGTCGACTTCCTCATTAGTGGAAAATGTTTGTGCTGTGTTACATAACGGCCTCTCGCTCCGGAGACTCTGACTTCTCTGACAGGCCTGCCTCAGAGCTGGCCGTCCCACAGAGCGAGGAGATGATCAAGAATATACCTCGCCTCTTCATGTAGTTCCCAAAAAAGAAATAAATCTTAAGCTTTACACTGATAGGTGAACAGATGAGTGTTTGAATGAGCATAGCTTGGCGTAAATCCATCTTTCCATGCAGACGGTCCTCCAGCCTTCGTCTGCTCCCCACCGTCTCCCAATGGTGGACCGCAGATAAGAAAATGAATCTGGGTTAGCATGAATGAGCTTCTGTCTCACATCAGCTTCCTCTAACTCTGCTCGTCTGAAATAATTCAGAAACTCCTGAGTCCTCCGTTATCTGGGCAGATTTCTGTGCCAAACTGATCTAAAAGTTTGATCCACCTTTTTATTTGTTCATATTTTTGGGGGGGATGCATTTGTGTGTTTAATCAAAGCATGCCTGCACAGAAGTTGGTGTATGTTTACACTTTCTGCAGACGGTGGGATTTGTGCTGAATGTAGGCCAGCAGAATCCCTGTTACGTCAAAGGCAGTTAGGCGGGCAGATGCAGGGAGGGAGCTGCTGCTGCTGCTGCTGGTTTGTGCAGATGTGGTCATGGAGGAGGCTGTGGCGCACAACGGGGACAGACTCGGATAAGCTGCAGCCAACGGCGGCCGACGACCATGAAGACGGTCCTGAGCCTGCACAGGAAATGGGCGCACGCGGTCAAGACCATCCGCATCCTGCAGGGACTTGTGAGTGCCGTCAGGCTGCCGTCAGGCTGCCGTGGCGACGGGTCAGCTCTGTGCGGGTCCGCACCTCGCAGCCAGACCCAGTTTACTGAAACAAAATCGGGGGAATTCATTACATTTAGTGTTTTTTAAAAAGAGCTGATTAATCCAGAATCGAGGTTTGGATTTGTGTTTTTTTTTTCTATTTTTTTAAAGTCAAATATTTTCCATTAAACTAAACATAATTTGTTAAATTTAAGTTTCTTCTATCAAACATTAAGCTGGCGTTTATTTCCCTCTGTATCTTGATTAAGTTTCATCTCAGCCTTTAGGTTTTTTGTTGTTGTTTTTGGCAACTTGGATACTTTTCTACCTTTTTTAGCTTTTCTCAACCAGGTTTAAAACGAGAAACTTAGAAATTGAAGCGCTGCTGTTTGCGATGCGCGGCTGAACGTCTGCAGGACGTTCGTTTAGTTCAAACCCTGAAGATTCAGAACTTGGCAGCGCTGATCGGACCCACAGCTGCTCTCTGAAGCATCAGGTGTTTAAAGGATTCTGGTCAAAGTGGAAAATCTATTCCTCTTCATCTCATCTTTTTTGTGTTTATTTTTTGGTTCAGTTTCTCTTATTGTAAGAGATCTTTAAAAATTGTTTAAATTAACTTTTATTTGCTGTGATTTCTTTAATTTTCTAAAAGAAAATTCATTTTCAAAAGTTTAGTTTTTAGTTTTCAGCATGAAATTTAAGTGACATAATTTCATCAAGACATTCAATGACTTTTGGGATTGCACCATCATTTTAGTGTTTAATATTAAAGTTCTAATGGTTCCCTTTATTTTAAGTGACAAATAATTACATTTATATTCTATATTGTGTTTATATAAAGATTTAAATGTTTTAAATGCATCTTTATCTTGTCTTTTTTTCAGAATTTTTTATCCTATTAGGCTTTTTTCCCCCCTGCACAGATCCATGGATGTGATAATGTTAAAAACACTTTATTCTTTACTTTCTAAGGGACATGACTCACTGTTTTAATGATTAAGTCTTTAAATACTCTAAGGCTAAAAAATGATAAAAGCTAATTCAGTGCTGCTGCTAATGCTACCTGGCTGTGCAGAACCGCTGTTAGCAGCATCTTATCAGAAATCAGACCGTTTCCTTTAAGGTCTGACCTGCTGCTTAAAGGAAACGTTTGATGCAGAGTTTTATTAAATTATTTGCATCAAATAATGTAGAAAATTGTTGTTTTGATGCTTTGAATGAGTATAAGTATATATTTTAAGTGAGGCATTGTCCGATCTGCCCAATCGATAGCTGAAAAGTCAGCTGACCGTCTGCGCCTTCGCTCCTCTCCTGGTGTCTCCTGGTTGTGTAACGGCGCAGGCTAATGAAATGGCTTTGTTTGTTACATCACAGGAAGGCATTATTAATCTGTTCTGTGAAATAATCTTTGCTTTCCCCTTTTGTTTGTCCCCAGAACCCGGTCATGGAGGAGACGGTGTGGGAGCAGTACACCGTGACCCTGCAGAGAGTGAGTTCCCCTCCGTTCTACATTATTCACAACCCAAACAGACGCTCTGTTGTTCCCACCGCTTCACTTGGAGAGCATCTGAATTATTTGTGAGGCTCTCTGAAACTCTTAGAGCCAAAAAGCAAAGTGAACTTAAAAAGTTTGAAATCCTGAACTGTTTTCCACTTCTTCATGCCTTGGTGTAACATACATGTTTAATATCGCTTGTAAACGAAGCGATGAAAAGCTTCGTGCCTAAAAGTTTGATTGTGTGGGACTCGTGCCGCCATTCAGTCGTGTTTGACTCTAAACACATGAGCCCAGGCAATCGCCCCGATGAGCTCATTGTCTCGTGCAGCGGCTCGATGCAGCCAGAAAAAAAAAAAAATATGCAGGAAAAAGGTCTTTTGCTTGCAGGCATGTGACCTCTACATGTTACCCTCCCCTCTCCTGCAGCCAGCTGTCACTCCCCTGCCATGTCCATCCACTCTCCTGCCGCTCATTAACTAATGCCTCTGCCCCCTCAGAACATCACTCATTGGGTTTAACTCGGCTTGCAGGATGATATTCGTTAGATTAGAGTCATCAGGAGGTGAAATGAGCAGCTTTATTCTCTCTGCATGTTGAAACAAAAGACAGGAGGACATTACAGACGTGTTTCTGTAAAAGGCCCTAAAGAAAAGGTTAAAAATGCATCTGCCTTTCCTCCTAATACTGAAAATGATTTAAAACATCAAATAATTTCAGTCTTTAATATAAAAAAACGAGGTGGATATAATTTCTTGTCATTTATAGGAAAAACGCAATTAAAAAATGAAAAGTTTTTAACCCAGAGATGTCGACCAAAGGAGGATGACGTCCTCACCGCGGTTAGCCATGTTGGTGGTTTAATGGGCGTCATGTATCTGAAACCATAACGAATAACTATGTCACTGTCCTGAACACGCTACTTTGAAAAAGTAATTAGTTATAGTTACTAGTTAATTCTCCCAAAAAGTAACTGAGTTAATAACTGAGTTACTCCACAATAAAAGTAACTAGTTACTAGTAAAAGTAACTATTAAGTTTCTTGCCCTGTAACCTTCACCACTCGACCCCCACCTTCTCGCCGTGTGTTTCCAAAGCCAGCTGAATAGAGCGGACGACAAAGACAAGAACCTGCAGAGAGTTTAGCATTTATTGCAACTCAGGCCCCGTCCACACGAAGTCAAAACGAACACGAAACGCTAATATTTTCCAAAACGTTTGCCGTAAAGACGGAGACGTAAAATAAATGTGAGTGTCCACACGAATGCATGAAAACGCTGCAAAATGTATGCCAGGCCTGTAAGTGGCGCTGTGGTGCCAAAGCAAAAATAGGCGACGAAATGTTGGGCATGCGCACTAATATTTATACATGGTTGCCCTGCGGGTCCATTTTCGTGGTTAAGTCAAATTTAGGTGCTGAACTATGTCGTCGATATTGCTCTGTTCTTCCTGGAGATATTCCAGAAGAAGAAGATTCTGTTGTAAGCCCGACAGCAGGGTAAGTAGCATTAGCAGCAACGGCGCCATTGTTGTTGTGTCGCGCATGCGTGTTTAGAGGCGACGCTATGACGCATGCGTGTAAAAAAAAAAAAAAAAAAAAATATGCGGTTAGAGCGTAAAGATGGAAACGCGAAAACGGCGTTTCAGAATCTTCCCACTCTGAAGGCTGAATAAAAAAAAGATAGTTTACAGACCCCCGAAACGCCGGCTTCGTGTGGATGAGAGGCTGGTTTGGTGAAAAATTTGTGCGTTTAGGCCAGGGTTTGACTTCGTGTGGACGGGGCCTCAATGTAAATGACATCAGGGGGGAACGCTTAACATGGGGGGAACGCTATCTGACGGGCCTGTAAACCCGGTCAGATAGCGTTCCCCCCTGCTTAACATGGGGGGAACGCTATCTGATGCGGTGTAAATATCATCAGGCTGCATTACCTCTAGTCATGGGTGTGAAGTTTTTTAACAGGGCATTCAGATCTGGTGAGTGTATGAAATTAATAACTGGGATGTCTAATTCTGAAATCCTGTGTGTTTGGGTTGTTATAGATACTGCAACATCTATCTATCATCTATCTATCCATCCATCCAGCATTTGATCCTTCACGCTCTCCGTAGTTCCCCTGTGGCGCGAGCACAGGGCGGCTGTTACGCGCCTTTAGCGAGCATGCGCGTTTCCTGTCGCTTGCTCGGTGAATCGTGCCGCCTGCGCTGTGTGGAAATGCAGCGGAAACCGTATGTGATGGGGAAACGCAGCTCGACGTAACACCGGTATTTCCATCTGGAAAACACTGTTTTGCTGCGGGAGTCCTCCTGACTTCATCTCTCTGTGTGTGCTCTACGTTAACACCCACCAGCGGAAACACCCACCTACCCAACTGACAGACGTAATCTCACTATACATCAACCATTCTCATCCTCCCCTCTCTCATGACAAGGCGTGCACGAGTCCTATCATTAAAAAAGGTTCATTGTGCGACCCGAGTAACGTGCAGTAACAGGGTGTCTGCAATGGTAACTGCGTTATAGTTACATTAAGAGTAATAATTTTAATTACTCGTTACTAAAAAAAAGGTAACGGCATTAGTAACGCCCATCACTGGTCCTGAACATGTTGAAATGCAACATAATAGACTTAGATTTATTTTGTATACAGAAGTGTAATGAAAAAGAGATTTGGTTTAGAACAGCTCTCTAGACTATTTTATTTTTTAAAGTGCAGCCTTGATAAGGTAAGCAGCAGCAGTTGTTGTTGTTGAGCTGCTACTACCGCCTCCAGCTCCTGAAGCACTCGCTTCTCCTGGCTCAGGGGAGGAAGAGGACGATGACGATGCTGTGAGGGTGGTCGTCCCCTGGGTTGAAGAGGCTGACGTGGTTGAAGCAGTAGTGGCACTATCGGCAGATTTAGCAGTGGTCCGGGAGGAGCCGGCTGGGAATGTTTCATTATTTGACAGGGAAGCAGCTAGAGGTCTCTCCTCATTTTCACCTGCAGAGGACTGAGCTTCCCTTCTAGATGCTGAAGATTGCCCTGGAGCCGTCTGAGGAGCCTCCATTCATGCAGAGCTCTTTGTTTTCTATCAGAGTTTGGTCTGTTTTCTCCAGTTAGCTAGCCTGATAAACCAGACTAAATGTGAGATTAAAGGTGTAATTTAGTCTGGCCTCTGATGAAAGAGACATCGGAAGATTGGTGAGAACAACCATTGTTTTTCAAACCATGTCTGTGCCTATTAGCCAACGCTCTGACCAATGAGCGCAACTAACTGTGACGTAGTAAGCGCGACAGAAAGCTGGTGGGGGAGTGTAAACAAACAGCCTGTTGGTAAAACGGCGAATACGTCCTTCTTAAAAATGAATGAGCGTAGAGCCACTTCCTGCTCGCGTTTCAACGAAAACCCAAAGTCCAATCCTTCCAAAACTGATTCCAAAGCTGAGTCAAACGAGAACTGTTCAATAGTTGCTGCCATCTTGCTTGTTGTGCTTCTCCAGTGTCGTGCAGCTTTGTCGCCACGCCCTCAAAACCCTGCTTTGAGTCTGCTTTCAGCCCAGAAATTCAAAACGCATCTCTGCGTTGTGATTGGCCCGCCAGTTCTAGGGCCAGGGGAGTTGATCGAGGCTAGATCACTAGCAGGCAAAAATGATTTTGGCTGCTGGTGGGTGGGGCTAGTTTACTAGGCTACCAGTTAGCGATTTCTTGATTTCTAAAGTTAAATATATTATGCTGGATTCTGGAGTCTCTGTAATTTGAAGGCTAAGCAATAGAAACTGATGGTATGAAGACCACACCTCAGCAAGATGAAGGAAAAAACACAGTTTAACTCTTTATATCAGTCTGTGCAGAAGGAAAATGAAGTTAGAATCTGTTAAAATCCAACTTGGCCATTCAGCTGTGGAGGCTTTAGAGATGATTTATGATTCTGAATCGGATACTAACCTGATTGAGGTGAAGAGATCAAAACTGGAAGCTTAGACTTCCATAAAAAGGTGGAATGTGGGTCATATACGGAGAAAAAGAACGTGAAGCTTTAGACGACTGGAGTTGAAATGAGTGGATTAGAAAAGCTAATGGACCCAGTGCTTATAGTTATCGCTCCATTGAACGTTTCCCTTCAACTCCCTGCACCAAAAAACTGCAGCTGAAATGATTTTACTCACTGATTCTCATCAACCATAACTTTCTGGAGATTAATTACAGGCTAAATGTGTCAAAAATTGATCTTTTTCTTTTAAATAAAATTTTATATAATGTTGAGTTTATCTGCAGCCAGATTAACACGGTTCTCGCTCCCTGGAGCCATGTTTACCTGACCCGCTGTAGGAATAAACTAAGCTGACTGGAAAGAGAGGATTTGGTTTAATCCACACAACTGTAGCTATAATATATCTGAAGTTAAGCTACACTAATATTTACTGAAACAAGACAACATGGCTACTGACTGATTAATGAAGTAATAATTAAATATTTGATCAGCTTCGGTTTTAAATAATTACATTTTTAGTTTTTAAAAAGAATGAACCATTTTTTTTTATTTTGAGCCATGCAATATTTCCTGTATTTACTTTAAACTCAAATGGTTTCATTTCTCCACAATTAACCTGTAGTCTAAACGTCATGTTTGATTTAGGGGTGCACTGATTGCAAATTTCCGGCTTTAATAGATTTTCTTTTAAAGGCCTGCCTCCTGCTCTAGCTAGGGCTGTCACAATAACCGCACGAATGAAATATCGCAATATCAAGAAGCTCACCGCGCTACAAAACAAGCCACCGCATCTTGGGAGAACAGTTAAGAGGATACAATGGCAGCTGCACTGATATCAAAACCAAATGTTACTTACCAAAAGTCAAATTTGCCTTTAAAAGTTCAGCCTTCTTTTGAATTTTGTTAAGTTTAGTCGGAGAAATGAGGCATATCTGTGCCATTACTGCCCTTTGATCTGCGTTCAATAAAGTGTCATCTCTTTTTTTTTTTTTTATAACCTTTTTTTTTATATATATATATATA